TCCTGAAGACACCGTACTTTCAGCAGCTCCCGGCGCAGCTGCCACTGGCGCGCCTTGGGGAGGGAGGGTTTAGGAGTCAGGGTTTAGGGTTTAGGGTTTAGGGGTTTAGGGTTTTGGGTTTAGGGTTTTAGGTGTTTAGGGTTTTAGGGTTTTAGGGTTTAGGGTTTAGGACTTCTGTCAACACCTGCACCCCTTGAAATGAAGGTGTGAAGGATTTATAGAGTTGTGTGGAGTCTTGTGGGTGTTTGCAGGGTTCTTACTTACTGGACTTGATGTGGTTCGCAAGTGTAGTATTGGAAAAGTACGGAGCATTTACAAGGCTACAGGATGTAGGTTTGCCTGAGCCTCTTGCAGATTGAGTCTCAGGCCTTGGGCGTGAAAAGGAATTATGGGTAGGTGTCTAAATTACGGTCCTTTTTTGGGGGTGTTTTCTCTAAAGCTTTCTGGGTCCCTAATTTAGAGAACTACCCATGTGAGTTGGAGTTAAGGTTTTGGCTGAGGCATTTGGGTGTAGGACATGGAGTTAAAGGGTTTATAGGGCTTCAAGTTTAGGGTTTCGGGTTCAGGGTTTAGGGTTTAGGGTTTAATTCAGGTTTGATAGGGGTCTATCCTAGACCGTCAACCATAAACTGAAATAGCCGAAACCTGAAACCACTTTGGAGGCTATAGCGGCTAGGGTTCACCTTAACCTTCCACAACACGTTCCGCTGTAGTCCCTAGGTACATCCGGAACAAGCAGGCGCAGCAACCCGTAAACCCTAAGTCCTAAACTCTAAACCCTTAACCCTTAACCATTAACCCTAAACCAACAAGTAGGCTGTGGTAGTTGATTACGGCAGGGTTGGCGATCGAGTGTGTGGTCGTCGAGCTCTATGGGTTGAAGAGTTTGAGCTTGGGGCTTAGGGTTTAGGGTTTAGGGTTTAGGGTTTAGGGTTTAGGGTGCGATTGTGCCCCTAAGCCCTAAGCCCTAAACCCTACCTGCTGCCATCCGTCACGGCAGCGCAGAGTCAAGAAGCCACCCAACACCCCTTCATGCGTCGTGCTACGGTTGATGATAGAAATCCTGCATGACCCATAGTAAGGAATATGCCATAATTCCCATAGTTAGGGTCCTGGAGAAGGCAATGCAGGGTTTATCTCATCAACAGTAGTATTGACTTACCAAAGCCCGAGTATTAAAGGCTAACCTGGGAAGCCGGTAACCCCAAAGCCCTATCAACCCCAAACCTGAAGCCCTGAACCGTAAGGTCCTGCATAAAACCTGAAACCACAAACCCAAGGATGATGTATCTGAATGCTTCCTAAGTCTACACCCATGCGGTCCCCAATCTAGCTATAACCACATGAAACAATAGCTTAAGTTAAGTAAAGCCCCATTCTTGTTGCTTTCGGCCTTAAAGTAAACCCGCTTAGTTGCGAGTTACAGATCTCCTCGAAGGAAAGCCCTGGGCCTACATAGATCAGAGGGTCGGACGGGGGACTTCGTAACGTTTTAGGGTTTAGGGTTTAAGGTTGAGGGTTTAGGGTTTAAGGTTTAATAGTAAGTAGTTATTCATGGTTTTCGGTAGAGTTCTAAACATCAGAACGCCATGTGGGATCCCTTTTCGAGCACTTATCTAGTTATTCCCTCAGAACCCCAATCAGGATCCCTTAGCCCTAAACCCTAAACTCTCGTTGTTCCCTACTTTCTGCGTCCCCCCTACCCTGCAAGCAGATGAGCTTGGATATTGGGTTCGGGGTTTTAGGGTTTAGGGGTTTAGGGTTTAGGGGCTGGGGGTTTAGGGCTTTGTGATTTTGGGGTTTACGGTTTAGGGTTTTAGGGGTTTGGGGTGAAGGGTTTGGGGGGCTAGCTACAATTAGTACTGGAAGGACTTTCTATAGTATAGGGTCTATCTAGGTTGCCTGCAGTGTGGTTCACAGGTAATTACATGAGAAGTACGAAGAAAGGGACCTGAAATGGGGTTTAGGGTTTGGGTCTTAGGGTTTAGGGGGCCCCCGGGTTGTTGCCCCGACCTGCTGATCAAGTCCACTGAACCTTGAAGTAGGCCTGCTTCGCGAACCCTAAACCCCAAACCCTAAAGCCTAAACCCTCAAACCTCAACCTTGCGACATGAATCCGAAATCCTCTGTCTGCGCAGGATCAGGAGCTAGTGAAAGCCGTGGACCAGATGGGCGAGAAGAAGCAAATTCAGAATTTGCTGGCGCATGAGCTGATCTCCAAGGACCTCCTTCGGCCCAGAGAACCCCTTACTTGGAGGCCCAGGGGACTTAGTAAGTAGCTTATAGGTAGAGGTTATAAGTACTTTAACTGTAGTTACCCCAACTATAACCCTACTTATAACCGACTTACTAAGTCCCCTAGACCTCCAAGTACCTCTCAACGTTACATTGCGCTCTGGAGTTTGAGCTTAGTAACTTATGGTCTTACGGTTGAGGCTTGGGTGCCTGAGTTTCAGTTCCCACTGCCCTAAACCACAGAGTACAACTCCTCCCATGTTTGTCTACAAGTATACTATTTAATTACCCCACAAATGCAGCACCGATGCAAACGCAAAGCCTATGCCCGAAGCTGGACGCGTGGTTCTGGGCGATTGCAATGCGAAAGCACCCGACAGAGAGATGTATTCTTCCAAGTCTTCAGCGTGAAGGGGACTCGCAACAAAACTCCCGCACCCAACGCCCAAAGCCCTACAAGCTCCAACCCCCGCACTCTGCACCCTAATCTCTCAATCTCTTACCCCTTCAGCCTAAACTCTGGAGGAGAATCTGGGACAGCTTCATAACTTGCACCCCGGCTGCTGCAACAGAGAACCTGACAGAAGTGTTTAGGGCCAATACTTGGAGGTTCATGGGTAGATATAAGTGGGGTTATAAGTCCCCGAATTTGGGTTGTAAGTATAGTTACCCTACTTACAACCCCACTTATAACTACCCAATGAACCTCCAAGTAAGGTTTACAAGTCTTACTTGGAGGGTCGGGGGACTTAGTAAGTGGGTAACAACTAGACTTATAAGTACCCTAAAAGGGATCCTAATTGGGGTTATGATACTTATCCCTAAACCCTAAACCCTAAACCCTAAACCCTAAACCCTAAACCCTAAACCCTAAACCCTAAACCCTAAACCCTAAACCCTAAACCCTAAACCCTAACTCTATAAAATAACTACTTACTAGTCCCCCGACCCTCCAAGTAGGCTTCGGGCCCAAGTCTTCCGTTTTCGGGGCTTGAGCTTCGGGGCTTCGGGGCCTCGGGTTCAAGAGGAGGCTGTTAAGGAACATGTAGGGTTTAGGGTTTAGGGGTTTAGAGTTTAGGGTTTAGGGGTTTAGGGTTTAGGGGTTTTTAGGGTTTAGGGGTTTAGGGGTTTAGGGGTTTAGGAGGAGGCTGTTAGGGTTTAGGGTTTAGGGTTTAGAGTTGTTTAACAAGACCCTCGGACCCTCAACTCCCATAGACCCTAAACCCCAAACCTAAACCCTAAACCCGCAAGGCTTCGTGCGGAAGGGTGGCTAAGGGCTTATGGGGTTTAGGATTCAGGGATACGGCTGATGATGTAAACCCTGCATTTCCCACAATAAGAAATATGCCATAGTTCCCATAGTGTAGGGTCCTTAAGGTAATGCAGCCCTAAACCCCAAACCCCAAGCCCTAAACCCTAAACCCCTTCGCCCTAAACCCTAAACCCTAAGCCCCTAAACTCTATACCCTAATTTATATCATCTACAGTATCTGGACTTTTCAGTTTCGGGTCGACCAAGGCTTAGGGTTCCGTCCTAAACCTGTGCAGCTCTGATGTTTGTTGGGGTTTCTTAAGAGGGTTTAGGGTTCCAGGGTTTAGGGTTTAGGGTATCAGGGTTTAGAGAGTTTAGGGTTCAGGGTAAATTTAGGGTTTAGGGTTTAGGGATTTAGGGTTCAGGGTAGGGATTTAGGGTTCAGGGTCCCTAGATGTCAAGCCCGAGCCCCAAGGCCTACCGGCCCCAAGGCCCCCTCCCCCCGAACAAGGACAGTAGACGGTTTAGGGCCCCTAAACCCTAAGCCAGGGAGGCCATTGCACTGTAAGAAACAGGAACCTAAACCCTAAACCCTGAACCTTTTTGAGAGAAAAAGAACCTAAACCCTAAACCCAGAACCCTTTTTGTGAGACGAAGAACTTACACCCTAAACTCTGAACCCTTCTCAGCTCGAAGCTATAAACCCTAAACCCTCAACTCTATTATTATAGGGGCCTGAATAATTACCTTTCGTATTCTGAGGGTTCCTTAGCATGATTCTTATACTATAGTAGTATATACTCAAGAACCCGATTCTAACAACCCTAAACCCTAAACCCTCAACCCTAAACCCTAAACCCTACATCACGAACCTTCAGGCTTCAAACGCCGACTACCTGAACCCCATGGCAACAGACAGCCTGAAAGCTGAACCCTAAACCCTAAACCCCTGAAGCCCCTAAACCCCTAAACTCTAAACCCCTAAACCCTAAACCCTGAACCCTAAACCCCTAAAGCCCTAAACCCCCAAACCCCAAACCCTCATAAAGCTGAGGAACAGCCTCTTCCAGAGCCTGGACAAGGACAACAGCGGCACTGTGGAGGTGCAGGAGGCGCAACGTGTGTGGGTTTTAGGGTTTAAACCCTAAAACGGTTTAGGTTTAGGGTACTCAAAATTTAGGGTTTTAGGATTTCAGTGTGAAGCTCGCGGGTCTCGAGTTTTGGGGCTTAGGGCTGCCGGGTTCAGAGTTTAGGCTTGACCTTAAGCTCACAGGACGTCTGATCTGCGGTCCGAAGCGATTCTAAGGATGACCACATAATTTGAGGTGATGTTGAGTTGCACAGATCAGGCTTCCAATGTGATTCGGGTTAAGGGTTGAGAGTTTGCGTTAATAGTTTCTGGGGTTCAAGACTGGTTTCTCAGGTTAGCGGTTCAGGGTTTAGGGTTTAGGGTTCAGGGGTTCCTTTAAGGGTTCCTTTAAGGGATCCATAAGGGTTACTATAAGAGTTTAGGGTTTAGGGATTTAGGGTTTAGGGTTCAGGGCTTGGGGTCGCCGCGGGTGTGCACGGGATAAGGCACGTATCCACCAGCAACGGCTAGGTACAGAGGTTTGAATAACTAGCAACCATATCCCCCAGTGGTCCGTAGCATAGAAACTATCCCTAAGGGTCCATGTACCCACATAGAGTATACTTTGGCACCAAAGTACCCAAATAGGGACTACTTACTTGAAGGCCAAAATATATGCTATTTGGGTACATGGACCCTTAGGGTATAGTCTACCCACGCTTTTTCTCATCATTAAGACCCAGATATGCACTGAGCCCCTCTATCACATTAGGGCTCCATGCTTCGGGGTTTAAAGGGCGAACTCGGAAATCCTCTCTACCATGTACTTTGTCAAAGTACATACTGGAGGTGATTCTCCATGGTTTAGGGTCTAGGCTGTAGGGTTTAGGGTTATACACCTATAAACTACCTTAACCCCAAATAACCTACCTTTTTAAGGGTTTATATAAAGAAATCATATTAAGGAACCCTAAAAAGGTAGGTTCTTTAGGGTCCAGGTAGGGTTTAGGGATAGTTTTCAAGAGTCCTTTCGGCTGGAGCGACATATTCGGTTTTTGGGATCCCAGAGAGGAGACCTTTGTTTGG